CTCTCTCTTAAAGAGGTAGTGCATGCTATGGGGAGGGGACCAGTAGGAGCAGTCTGTCTGCCTGCGCCATCCCCCCGGGGAAAGGCGGGTTTGTATAATCCACATACACAAGCAGTAGTTGGCAGCGTGCTCGGCAGCTGTGACCAGCACGAGTTGGGCAAGTTCCCCCCCCAACTCATGCCAACAGGACCTTTACATACACGTAAAATTAAATTAATGGAGATATCCCATCTCCTAGAACTGGAAGGGACCTTGAAAGGTCATCGAGTCCAGCCCCCTGCCTTCTCTAGCAGGACCAAGTACTGATTTTGCCCCAGATCCCTAAGTGGCCCCCCTCAAGGATTGAACTCACAACCCTGGGTTTAGCAGGCCAATGCTCAAACCACTGAGCTATCCCTCCCCCCTAATTTGCTGCTTCACAGCTCCCAGAACAACTGTTGCAAGAATTGTTACAGATTTTTAAAAAAAGGGAGTATTGCTTCACTTGTAAAGTCAGATAGTCAGGTTTTTATTTTATTTATTTGGTGAGTAGGGGCAGGAGGGAAGGAGTAACAGGGCAGGAGGGAATCAAGCGATAGTCCTGACATTTTTGTAAGCTTCAAAACATTCTTAAAATCGTTTTTTCGGTAATCTATGTAGCATTCCCAGAATGCAAGGATTTACTGGGGTGAGCTGCGTAACTCATGCTGATAAATTTTTTATCATACTGACATATATATATGAATACTTCTCTCTTTCTTTCTTTCAGGAATTATGTTGAAAGGATTTGTAGAAGAAGGGGTTAAGCCTTTAATGACAATAGCAGGGAATCATGGAATGTTTGCTGAACATATAGAGCCTTTATTGGTTAATTAGCTAATGTTTCTACAGTGCTTTGAAAATGTAAACTCTTATATAAGAGCTAAGGCCGCAGGCCACAAACCTTGGAAATTTATTCATGTACTTAACTTCAAGCACAAGTAGTCCCAGTGACTTCAGTAGAACTACCTATGTGAGTAAAATAAAGCAAGTGCTTATTTTCAGGATTGGGTCCCAAGTTATTACCACCTTTATTCTGCCAGAAAAGCATCCAGTATGTAGTCAGTCCTCTCATTTGTAATGCATGGAATGCATTTGGGAATAAGCCTTAGATGTGCATTAATACAATTAACAGTAATAAAACATTCTTTATTGCAGTTAACATCCTGATTTATTTTCAAGAGACACAGTGTAGTAGTGGACCATATTCTGTTCTCATTCACACCCTGTGCACTGACGTGAGTGGGACTGTGAGAGGGTAGAATTGGCCAGACACGTGAATGACTTTCCAGCCACTATCCCCTTAGCCTCAGCCTCTTTTCCCCTCCTCCTTTACCTTTGCTCCAGCTCCCTTACACTGTTTTCCTTTGGAAGCAGTCTGTCTGCCTCTGACAAAATGTTCAAAATCAGGGTAATTATACAAAAGACCTTGATTCTTTTGTATGAATTGCTGTGTGTTGCTGTTGGTAAAATGCTGATGATATTGTTCCCGGAAATGATGAAAAGATATATTCTAAAACAGGGGCAAAAGGGCAGCATAGGCACGAATCCAAATTTCAGCTATGAGAACTGGGGTCCGACTTTCTTCAGCTTGAAATATTTACTCTTTGTTTTGAAAGTGAAGTGGAAAAGGCTGGAAGATGAAGCATTTTTAGGACATAATGCTCCCAACACCCCAGTGGCAGACTTCAGGGATGAAATGCATCACATCTTGGACTTCATGCAAGGTCAGTAAAATCATCCAAATAGGTTGGGTCCTTATGGTTAGGATGGTAAATTAAACAGACCGTTATATTCAAACAGTCTGAGACACGTTGTCTGGAGATTGGGGAGCTAAGTGATGGTTAGAGGGTTCAATTACAGTGTCTGCAAACCAGTTTAGATTAAAAGTAACTATCTGCAGAGGGATTTGTTAAGTAGAAAAGAATATATCACATTCCAACACTGGGGTTTCTCAACCATCTGGTGGTTTTAGAGAAAATCTGTGTGTTTGTCTTTGCTAATGCACTATTACAGTTTTCTAATGCATACAGCTATTTGTGGCCTGCTGTCATGGATGTGGGGGGGGAAGCATCTGTTTACTGAAAACCAATACAATAACTTGTCATGGTGAAAGAAGAGGCAAATATAACCAGAACCATGTACTTAATATATTTTGTATACTGTTATACATAAGTGGAGAAAGCCTGTACACCATCATCATTAATCAGATTAAAGTCCAGAAAATGGATGATGTTTGTTACAAAATAATGCTGAGAGAGAAAAATTTGGTTTGTACTTTGTCCTCCACTTTGATCTTTGTAGCACACATTCTTAATCATTAAGCTGCACGGTCTAGTACCCAGTATATTAACCAGGGCTTAAAAACCCCAAACAACACAATTTCAAAATTGATATAGCATGGTTTGCATATCAGAAAGGTATCCATAATGTATTCAGAAGTGGGTCCAACCTTAGACCTTTTCAAAGTGTGATAAAATGATAGCATCAGATTTTGAAATTAAGCACAGCCAATAAGGAGATCGTATACAATTTCAAATTACATTATATGACCCTGGACTAAAATAGATTTTTTTAAGTCCTTGGAAGCACTCTTAAATCAGGGTCCTGCAAACACAAGAAAGTGTTCCTGTAAATATTTGTGCAGAGGCTTTTTGTTAGGTCCATGCATAAGCGTTTGGGGGATCTGGCCCTTAAGCACTAAGCAATCTGGGGCAGGAAACATTTACTTCTGTGGCTTGTACAGCAGTTGTTTAATAAATAATAACAACGAATAATTAAAGTTCTGTCTGGACAAGAAAATTGCTGAATCACATTTAAATCATGAAAGCCTGGGATGCATTATCAAAAATATGGCTAAAGTTTTCAGATCTGGATGTCTGTAACTAGGCTCCCATGACAAAATGTAGGCACCTAAATAAAAAGGAACTGATTTTCAGAATCTGTAATGTCCCCTGACATCAGCTGGAGCTGTGGGAACTCAACATTTCTGAAAAAGCAAGACATTTGTAATTAGATGCCTAAAAATGCATTTGAGAGCCTAAATTTAGGCATTCTGGTTTGAAAATGTGGGCCTTCATGGGGTTTATTCTTTAAGGAACATGCAGAATATTTTTTTAAGTACCTTCATACTAATTTGCTTTACAGTAGCATTTAGAGACCTCACCTGAGATTGAGAGCCCCTTGTTCTAGTTGCTGTACATACATTTAGTAAAACAGAGCTCCGCCACCCCAAAATGCTTACAGTCTAAGGCTTGGATCCTGCAATGAACTCCATGTGGGAAGATGCCTGCGCCTGTATGGAGCACCACTGACTCCACTGGGGCTTTGCATGGGCATAGGAGTCTGTGTTCATAAAGCTTATTGTAGGATTGGGGCTTGAATAAACCAGACAGGGCCAAGGTGAGAGAAGGAAAGCATTACTATGTCGATTTTTACATACTGATACTGAGGTACAGAGAAACTAATAGCCTGATTTTCAGAAGAGCTCAGCACCTTTGAAAAATCAGGTGATCAGTGTGACTTGCCCAAGATAATACAGGAAGTGTGTGACAAGGCTAAGAATGGAGCCCAGATTTGAGCCCAGGCCTTAACCCTAACCCTGTCCTTTCTCTCATCACCCAATTAACTTGACTGTTTCATGTCTGTTACAGACAACAGGCCTTTAGTCCTGAATTTTGGAAGCTGCACCTGACCTTCATTTCTTTTCAAATTCAGCGAGTTCAACAAGCTTGTTGAAGATTTTAACTCCATAGCAGATTTCCTTATAATCTATATTGAAGAAGCTCATGCAACAGGTACAGTATAGAAAGCAAAACATATAAATGTATGATGAAGCATAAAGATATGGATCCTTCTGTCTGAGTCATGGTAGGAGGAAGGGCTCAACCGCTCTGGAGCTTCTGGTTTATGTTTTATATTCCTAAAAGTTCATGCTTCAGGGTTTCAGCTGGCCACCCACAGGGGTCAGGAAAGGATATTTTCCCCCCAGTATAGTCTGTGGTTTTTTTAAATCTCCTGCCTCCAAAGCATCAGAGATGGTCATAGCTGGAGATGAGACATTAGATGAGGATGGCCAGGGCACCGAGCAGTCTCTCTCTCTCTCTCTCAGGTGTTTGGCTGGCTGACTCTTACTCACATGCTCAGGGTCTAAATTATTACCGTATGTGGGGTCAGGAAGGAATTTTCCGCCAGGTCAGATTGGCGGTGACCTTGCGGGAGGGGGTTGCCTTCCCTGCAGCATGTGGGTGCGGGTCACTTTCCAGGATTATCTAGATATCTATCACTTAATCATTTCCCAGCCACTGCAGGGGTTTTGGGCACTGGTGCACCTGCATCTCTCCTATTCTCTGCCTGTGGCACATAGTTTAGTCACCTCTGGGCTCTAAATCTTTGGTCTTATTTCGGTTGTTGGGTTTAGTAGGCGGGTGGTGTTGGTGGCCAGTGATATACAGGAGGTCAGACTATGATCTGGTCCTTCCTTCTGGCCTTAAACTCTATGACTCAGTAATACAGTATATTTGAGAGAAGAATAAAACTGCAAACAGGAAGGAAAAATCTACTGAAATTCAAAGTAACTGTGTCAACGTAAAGAACCAGTTTCGGGCCCTAATCCTGCAATCACTTGTGCACATGCTTAAACTTTACACATAAGTAGTTCAGTTGAAGATAATATGAAGATACTTATGTGTAAAGTTGAACACATGTAAGTCTTTTCTAGACTGGGGCCCTGATCTTAGTCTGCATATAAGCACATCAGAACATCCATACTAGATCAGAGCAGCAGTCCATCTAGCCCAGTATACTGTCTGTCTTCCAACAGTGGCCCATGCCAGATGCTTCAAAGGGAAAGAAGAGAACAGGGCAATTTTGAGTGAGCCATCCCCTGTCGTCCAGTCCCAGCTTCTGGCAGTTGGAGATATAGACACCTGGAGCATGAGATAATAGCCACTGATAGACCTATCCTCCATAAATTTACCTAATTCTTTTTTTAACTCAGTTATACTTTTGGCGTTCACAACATCCAGTGGCAAGTAGTTGCACAGGTTGACTGCATTGTGTGAACTACTTCCTTGTGTTTGTTTTAAACCATCTGCCTATTAATTTCATCAGATGACCCCCAGTTCTTGTGCTATGTGAAGAAGTAAATCACTTCCTTATTCACTTTCTCCACACCATTCATAATGTTATAGATCTCTTATCATATTCCCCCTTAGTTGTCTCTTTTCCAAGATGAACAGTCCCAGAATTTTTAATCTCTCCTTTTACGGAAGTTGTTCCATACTCCTCATCATTTTTGTTGCTCTTCTCTGTACCTTTTCTGATTCTAATATATCTTTTTTGAGATGGGGCGACCAGAACTGTCCACACTATTCACTGTGGGTGTACCATAGATTTATATAGTGGCATTATGATATGTTCTGTCTTATTATCTATCCCTTTACTAATGGTCCTAACATTCTGTTAGCTTTTTTGACTGCCACTGCACATTAAGCAGCTGTTTTCAGAGAACTATCCACAATGACTCCAAGATCTCTTTCTTGAGTGGGAACAGCTAATTTAGATCCCATCATTTTGTATGTATAGTGGAAATTATGTTTTTCAATGTGCATTACTTTGCAGTTATCAACATTGAATTTCATCTTCCATTTTGTTGCCCAGCCGCCCAATTTAGTGAGATCCCTTTGTAACTCTTTGCAATCAGCTTTGGATTTAACTATCTTGAATAATTTTCTATCTTCTGCAAATTTTGTCAGCTCACCGTTCACCCCTTTTTCCAGAATATTTGTGAATATGTTGAACAACATTGGTCCCAGTACAGATAGTTGGGGGACTCCGCTATTTACCTCAACATTCTGAAAAATGACCATTTATTCCTACCCTTTGGTTCCTGGCTTTTAACTAGTTGCTGATCCATGAGAGGACCTTCCCTCTTATCCCAGGACTGCTTACTTTGCTTAAGAGCCTTTGGTGTGCGACCTTGTCAAAAGCTTTCTGAAAGTCCAAGTACACTATATCCACTGGCTCACCCTTGTCCACATGCTGGTTAACACCCTCAAAAAATTCTAATAGATTAGTGAGGCATGATTACCCGCTACGAAAAACGTGTTGACTCATTCCCAACATATTGTGTTTATCTGTGTGATAATTCTGTTCTTTGCTACCTTTTCAGTCAATTTGCCTGGTAGTGAAGTTAGGCTTAATGGCCTGTAATTGCCAGGATCACCACTGGAGCCTTTTTAATAATTAGCATCACATTAGCTACCCTCCAGTCATCTGGTACAGATGCTGATTTAAGCGATATGTTACGTACCACAGTTAGTAGTTCTGCAATTTCATATTTGACTTCCTTCGGAACGCTTGGGTGAATACCATCTGGTCCTAGTGACTTACTACTGTTTACTTTATTGTGTCTTTAGCTAGTTGCTCTTCAAATTCTTTCTTGGCCTGCCTAATTATGCTTTTACATTTGACTTGCCAGAGTTTGTTTTTTTCTATTTTACTCAGTAGGATTTAACTTCTAAATTTTAAAGGATGCCTTTTTACCTCTAACCACATCTTTTACTCTGCTGTTTAGCCATGGTGGCATTTTTTTGATCCTCTGTTCTTTTTTTGAGGGGGGGGGACAGCAAGGGGGGGTGCTATATTTAGTCTGAGCCTTTCTTGTGGTGTTTTTAAATAGTTTCCATGCAATTTATAGGCATTTCACCCCTGAGACTGTTCCTTTTAATTTCTGTTTAACTAGCTTCCTAATATTTGTGTGGTTCCCCTTTTTGAAGTTAAATGCTACTGTGATGGGTTTGACAATTTTCCCCCTGTGAGGATGTTAAATTTAATTATGTTATGGTCACTATTACTGAGCAGTTCAGCTGTATTCACCTCTTGGACCAGATCCTGTGCTCCACTCAGGACTAAATCAAGAATTGCCTCTCCTCTTATGGGTTCCATAACAAGCTGCTCCAAGAAACAGTCATTTATGATGTCTAGACATTTTACCTCTGGATCCTGTCCTGAGGTAACATATACCCAGTCAATAGCAGGATCATTGACATCTCCCATTACTGTTAAAAAAAAAAACCATTTGGGCCTTGTCTAGACTATGAAGTCAGCACGTTAGTTTTTAGAAGTCCATCATAGACAAGGCACACTGCCTTTAACACGTATGAAAGGGAGGACTTTAGGCTTTAAATTTGAGCAGTTTAGCACATATTAATTAAAAATATGTACTGCTTATCCATACTACAATTTTAGCTAACACCACACCATTTATCCAGGCTAGAGAAGGCCTTGCAGAACACAATCTTTGCACTCTACATTCTAAAAGTGTGACACCTTCCTATTTCTATTAAATAGTTGTGGAACAGCTGAAAATGACGTATCCTCTAGTTTTTAAAAAAGCTTGCTTACGTTACCCATTTTACATTTAAAATATTTAAATAGTATTTACACCATACCAATTTGAAGGAATAAAATGGTGTGTGCGTGCCAGCAATTGTTTGTATATTAATGAGAAAGACAGACTATCTTAATTTTCAAAATCAGTTTAAAATTTGTAAGTAACATACCCCATTTCCAGAGATCTGAAATCTAGAGGACCAGAAACAGCAGTGAGCAGCAGCCAGTCAGTAGAGTTGTTAGAAATCCTGTACACTGATGGCTACCAGTTGGAAACTATATATACCGTATTTCAAATTGTACCTACAGCATCAGGGGTGCAATAATCTTCTGAAACCTAAGTATTTTAACTCAGAAAAGTTATGTGAAAAAAATTTAATTCCCTCTGTCACAGGTGTTATAATTTAACACTTTAAACTAGCTAGCAAATCCCTATGTGGTTATATCAGATATTCACACAGCTAGAACTTGAAGATAATCAGATGCCACCTTTCATTATAAGCCTACCATACATACACAGAGAGGGGGAGAGAGAGAGTGTTTCACTTTTATATCTATATAAGGTGCATATTATCATCCCTATTTTATAGATGGGGAAACCGAGGCACAGATAAATGAAGGGCTGCATTTTTGGAAGTGTCCACTTATCTTGGGTGCCCAACTTAACAACCCTGTGCTCTCATTTTCAGAAGTGCTGAGCACTCACAGAATCCCATTGATCATAGTGGGAGCTGTCAGTGCTCAAGCTCTGATCAATATCCTGTTCTATAGGTGCCAAACTGAGCTCCAAAAAATTGAAGCCTCCCAAAATTATGTGGACAGTTATGAAAAATAGGGTTAAGTGACTTACTCCAGTGTGAATGGCAGAGTGGTATGAAAACTCAAAGTTTCCCACTTCCCATCTTCTTTATGAAGAGCTCGATACACTGTGTAGGCGTGTGACCCTCCCTTGCTGTCAATCTCCGAGGGAGGCCACGCCTCTTTGCTACAACTGCCTTCCTGTAAGTTTAAATGTCTTGCAATTTCTTTAGTTACTCAGGGTATTAACATAGCTATTGAAATTATATCATATATAGATTAATGTGCATAATGTTACAGGCAGGGCTAGTAGCACTGCCTGTTGTTGAGTTTCTGACACTTCCCCTTATAAACTATTTTTCAGTTGCTCATAACTTTGCCAAACGTTATCCATTTGGGCTGAAATTTTCCATGCTGGGTATCTGCCTCAAGCTGGCGGTTTTTTAAATTTCAGAAAAATGGTTCAGCTGTTTCCAAGAACAAGGCTAGGGAAAAAAAAATACAATTTGCCCATATTAAAAATTCAGCAATCTTTTCTTTGGAAAGATTTAGTAAGGACTTGAAATTTGTGTGAGGGATATACCTTTTACCATCCCTGTGAAAATCCACCCAAATTTGGCCAAGTTATAAACCCTTAAAAAAAAAAAAACACAGTTAGCACATGCTCAATAGGGACGACTTTCAGCAGCTACATTTCTGAAGATCCTTTCTGAAGTGGGCATGTTCCAGCCTGGGGCTGAGCAAGACTTTCTCTGCAAACGTAGCTCTGGGCTGCTGAGAGCCATGCTGGGTTTGAGCACCTAAAAAGAGCAGGGGAATGGTGTCTCCTGTGCTCTCAATGGTATGTGATCATGTAAATAAAAACTGTATCATAATGCATATGCTCAAGCAGTCTGAATTAAGTTGCACAGGGCAATCCTAATTCTGGCATTTCTTAGTGCTTGACTTTGCAACGTTGATAATGTTCTTTTAACATGATTTTTGGGGCATGTATACACACAATATATAATCGCTTTTTCCTCTCCCCCCCCCCTTTTTTTTGAAGATGGATGGGCTTTTAAAAACAACATTGTTATTAATAATCACCGAAACCTTCAAGATCGAAAAAAGGCTGCACAATTTCTTTTGAAAGAGAATCCTTTATGCCCAGTGGTTTTAGATACTATGGAAAACCTGAGCAGTTCAAAATACGCAGCTCTGCCAGAAAGACTTTATCTGGTGCAAGGAGGAAAGGTTGTCTATAAGGTAATGAACTCTGAACACATTACAGTGTGGTTTTAACTTTTAAAAATACCCATGTAATATCCCATAGCATATTTGATGGGCAAACAATTAACATTTTTCACTGTGTTCCATTTCTAACAACTTTACAATTAACTTCAAGCACATTGAATAATGATTAGCAACAAAAAAGTCTTGGCATTGATGTATATTTTTGATGTATGTCTTGGCTCTGCCTCACTATTTATGTAGTCCTTCCTAAAGAGATAAAGTGAAAGCATACTGAGCACAGGGCTGGAAACAAAGAAACTTTACATTCTAACTCCAGCTGTTTCCCCAACTTGTTGGTTGGCCTTAACCTCTGCATAAAAGTCTACCCATGTGTAAAAATGAGGACAATAATACTTACCTAGCTCACAAGGCTGTTTTGAAGTTTGAGTTAATATTTGCATAGTATTTAAATATATAAAGTGCTAATTATTATCTGGTAACTGGAGACCATGCCTGTTACAAGAGTCTACTTCTTTTTAATGTAGATTATCTTTCAAGTTCCAGCATTAAACTTTCTAGCAGTTCATAGATTCATAGATTCTAGGACTGGAAGGGACCTCGAGAGGTCATCGAGTCCAGTCCCCTGCCCGCATGGCAGGACCAAATACTGTCTAGACCATCCCTGATAGACATTTATCTAACCTTCTTTTACTGTGTAATTTACTATACTGCTATATATTTAAAAGTCTGTACACAAGACATTAGGACACTCTCTACTGTGCTGTTTCTGCTTGGTGCGGGAGAAAGGGTGGCCATTAGGCAGCCACTTAAGGCTCCCTGATTATCTAGCTGGCTCTGGTGCAGGCTGCTCTAACCTGTGCACAGCTGGCAATGGGTCCCAAGGGTTCATCTACCAGCTGAGCAGAGTTGCAGTGCAACACACTCAGGTCACTCCTCTGGGTGGGTGGGGCAGGAGATGGCCATGTCAACTATGCACCACTGGAGACTCCCCCATAGAGTATATCTGAACAATACTGTATTTTATTTACTTTACAGGGTGGAGTGGGACCTTGGAATTATCATCCAAAGGACATACGTGCAATCTTGGAAAAACTAAAATAGGTGAACAAATCAGAATCCCCAAGAATAAAGTGGTCTATCTGGAAAAAGTGGTCCCTGAACACCTTACTCTGACCTTTTTTAAAATATATTTTTACTGCTGTTTATTTTAAAATAATTATAGAAATCAGAGGTTAAAATAATATATACTCACCCAGGAGAAAAAGACAAGGATATAGCATTAGTTATACCTTATTCAAGAATCAGACATCAACATGGCTTGATTCAACACCATTTGAAATTAATGGAAATGCTCTCTAAGAATGCTAGCCCAGATATGGAGTCATAGATGTAACCATCAGCTACAGGTTAGCATATAGGAAATACAAGTAAAACAAGAGAGAGAGAATAAAAGGAGTACAAAAATCAAAAGTGTTCTTATAGATTTCATCGCTACCCTGTTCATACACCCTTGGACCAAAATTTTTCATATAGTGAAACTACTTGTCTCAAAAAAAAAAAAAAATCCTGGATATTACTCCAAATGTGTAATGGCTTTCATACGCCCATTCTTAATAGTTTAGGTAGCATCTGATATAATGAAACTTAATATTAAATAACAGAAAATAAATAAATGTCTATATTCACTACACTTCAATTAGCTCAAGATTTCTTGTAATTAAAATATGAACTAGTGAGTGGAAAGAAAAATATATTTTATTCCACTGAATGCACCTATCATTTAGTGCCCAGTCCTTCAGTTCTGATGAATGTAAAATTCCCACTGAGATTAATGGGAGTTTTTTGCCCACTTTAGGACTGCAAGATTAATCCCTTTGAGTTTTGAAACCTGGCCTTATCAGTGAAACCTTACCAGTAATACATCCTGGTGCAACGGATTCAGATAATCTTCAGTATCACAGAGACAGCAATGGTACAACATGTTATAACTAGTCACTGAAGTACTTTTTGAAACTGAAATCTATAAAATAAATATTAGTAATTAAAAGCCGTACAAATCGCTTGGATGAATGTTGGAGTAGGGTATTAGCAAACAAAACAAATGATTGCACTCTGATCCCTCTTTTTAAAAAAAGAGGCAGTTTCTATTATTTACAGGCAGTTTTTCTAAATGTTCACTTGCACACACTCCAGCTAGTCTATGAATGAAACAATTTGTATTAATGTACATCAGCATTGGTTCTATTAATATTTGTTTATGACAGTCATAGCATAAAGCACAGGCAGCTGTGACCTGATTTGTGAAAATATTTATAGAGGCAATGAGCTAAATAGGAGCAATTAAAATATATTAAACCATCTCGAGTGGCTTCAGCTTGGTATTTAAATATTTCAATAGACGTTATAATCATCCTCTTTTCTTACCTAGGGTTCTCAGCTGATCAGGAGTACCACAAGCTAATGAATTTTGGAAGGACTTATTTTAGGGTTGGGGGAATGGCCTCAAGTTTGACTATTTCAGACTTTTATTTTTTCTGTGAGGGAAATATTTTACAGAGAAACAAATATTCAATGGCATTTTAAAACAATGTATCTTAAATAGCCTTTTAATCTCAACATACTGCAATTCAGAAGTGGAATCAATTATACTCCTATGTTAATGGTTAAGCAAAAAGCAATTCTTCTACATTTGTACTCTACATTGGAAAACTATAAATGTATTACCAGAGTTAATAGTTGTACTGCATTACACATTAAATTGCTGGGGGAGGGGTGGGGGGGGAAGACACACATGACATACTGGAGCCATATTTTAAAAATCCATTTTAATATAATGTTTGAATAATAAATATAACCTTTATGCTACAAATATCATTACAAAATAATTTTGAGGCAATTCTTTAAATTTGGTTTTAAATATTTTCTGCTACTCCTTCTGCCATCACTGTGTGCACTGAAACAAAATGATCAAAGGCAGATTTGATGATGAATCGCAAGTAGGTAGCTTGGAATTCAGGAAGCTGTAGAAGAGAAAAGGAGCTTATTATTTTCATTGTAATAATATACATGTTCAACAAGCTTCTGCAAAGAAGTTTAACGTTTAAAATATAACACAAGGATCAAGACATTTCTACATGTCAGTTTTCAGAGCTTTCTTGGGTTAGAGGAATTCAAAATAGCCCCCCTCTTTCCTTTGAAGCCCTGGAACTCATAAACTTTCAAGACAATAGCTGGGCCAAGAGAGATTACCACACTTCTTCAGATAGATATTTAGCAAAGTTAAGAGCTCTAGCTATATGGATTTTTATACCATAATGTATAAGCACATATCCAAGACCTAGGGATGTATCCAAACCTCTAAAATACTATGTATTGAGTTGCGCTAATTGAAGGCATTTTTAACTAGTCTATCCACCCCTCCTACATGTGGCACTAATGCTGAATGTACTCACAGAAAATTCTTCCGTTTGAAGCGCCCCTTCTATGTATTGTAAATCTAGAAAATAAATTTTATGTCAAACAATGAGTTAATATATATAAAAGGCTGTGATAAGTTTCCACTGGACTTGAAAGTTCCTGGAAGTTAAGGATTGTGAGTCTACATTTTATGCAAAAATTATTAACAAGCCGATTAAAGAATACAAACAATTTTAGTAATGTTCCAATTTAAATATACAAGCAATTAAACTGGTTTTTAAAATGTCCCTACTGGACATAAAAAAACCTGTGTTGCATTATACTACTCAAATATGCTTTTAATTTTTGAGTATAAGATAAAATATACAAGTAGTACTTTTAGCACTTATATAGTGCTTTATATCTTCAAAGTACTTTACAAACAATCAATTCTAACAATTGTCATTTATGGAATTATAAGTATTACAAATAATAAATAGCCCTATTTTATAGCTGGGCATACAGAGAGTGAGATTAAAGGGCCCATCTCCGGTCACAGAGTGAATCAGTGACATAGCTGAGATTAGAATTAAGTTATTCCTGTTTGAATAGGACATAAAGGGACAAACTGAGATTAAAACCCCATATTGTTAGGCACAGTTCTTCATAACATCCTCAGTACACTAAATATAATTCAAAGACACAGGAATGAACATTTAATCTTGTCACATAATTTAATGTTTTCCATTTTTCTTACATGTGGCAGATGGTTATGCATTTTAAACAGCTCATCATCATCATACTTTCAGTGTTTTAGTATTATTTGTGGACTGGCAAAGGCTCCGATCCAGCAAACACTTATGCACATGCTTAACTTTAGGGCTCATGCTAAAGTTAAGCACATGCAAAAGCATTTGCAGGATCAAAGCCTTTGTCTTTTTAGACAAGGGTTTATTAAATGTCAAAAACTAGATCACAACTTCTGTGATAACATAAAATATAGCTCTAACATTTTAAACTTTCTACTATTCTAGTTTTCATTAGGCCACCATTCTCACTTGATGTCAAAGGAGCCAACACAGAGCCCAATTCTGCAAACATTTATATATAGGGCCCTACTAAATTCATGGTCCATTTTGGTCAATTTCATGGTCATAGGATTTTAAAAATCATAAATTTCATGATTTCAGCTATTTAAATCTGAAATTTCATGGTGTTGACCCAAAAAGGAGTTGTCGGGGGTGGGGTTGCAAGGTTATTGTAAAGGGGGTTGCGGTACTGCTACCCTTACTTCTGCGCTGCTGCTGGCGGTGGTGCTGCCTTCAGAGCTGGGCAGCTGGAAAGAGGCGGCTGCTTGCCAGGAGCCCCGCTCTGAAGGTGGAGCCGCCGCCAGCAGCAGCACAGAAGTAAGCATGGCATGGTATAGTATTGCCACCCTTACTTCGCTACTCCTTGCAGATCTGGGGCCTCAGTCAACAGCCGCCACTCTCTGGCTACCCAGCTCTGAAGGCAGAATTAAGGATGGCATGGTATGGTGTTGCCACCCTTACTTCTGCGCTGCTGTTAGCGGGGTACTGCCTTCAGAGCTGGACATCCGGCCAACAGACGCTGCTCTAAAGCTGCCCAGCTCTGAAGGCAGTGCAGAAGTAAGGGTGGCAATATTGCGACCCCCCCAAAAAAAATTCCCTTTTAGGTCAAGACCCCCAATTTGAAAAATGCTGGTCTCCCCCATGAAATCTGTATAATATAGGGTAAAAGCACACAAAAGACCACATTTCACAGGGAGAGACCAGATTTCACGGTCTGTGACACGTTTTTCATGGCCATGAATTTGGTAGGGCCCTATTTATATACACAGCAACTCTACTTCTTATGAGCAGTCTGTTGGAATCAATAGGACCACTCTCATAAGAAAAGTACTTGTATGCATCTGTGATTGTAGGATTAGGCCCATAGTGTAACAGTTTATGCTTTTTTATTTTTATTTTTTTACAACAAAACAGGGTTTCCTGATAATTTAAATAAAGAAAATTCAAATACAAACCTAAATTTACAAAACTCAGGGTTGAGAGAAACTAACAAAAGAGTGAAAGTTTGTAAACAAAGATCAACCTCTGCCCCATCCTCAAATACCTACTGAGCACACAGCAGTACCCAATTTAACATTATCATGATTTATATTGTTGTACTCTGGAAAATATTTTGTCTCTTAACAAGGCAGTATTGCTATACTGTTTCAAGTCACACTGTTTTTTCACATATAATTTTCATGTGGATTTCCAGCATGTCACTCTGGTAACATTGATGGAATATTAATTTTTTATGGATTATATCCATAGTAATAAAAACAGCCAATCACAATCCTTTCCAGTATACCAAACAAATGTTATAAACTTTATTCTTCTAATGGTGTAAAGATATTAAGACAATGAGCAAATAGATAAAGGCCAACATAATTTCCACCCAATCAGAGCTGCTCCTCATTTGATTACTTACCTTTTTCAATACACACTTCAAAAGCTACTGGATCTTTAGATAAGCTTTTCTCAATCCTCAAACTCCGCACTAAAATATATTTAAAAAGAAGTCAGCATAGACTGAGCACTGAAGTCTACTTAGTTTTGTATTACTGTTTTACTAATAACAACAGTACTTAACATCATGCATCACTTTTCATCTTCAAAGAATTTTACCAACATTAGCTAATTAATATTCACAGTATCCTGTTGGGTAGGTAGGTAATCTTATCATCATCCTCATTTTACAGGTGGGGAAACTGAAGAAGAAAGTTTAAGTGATTTGCCCAAGATCAGCTAAAGCTTGAGTTCCTAGTTCCTGGGCTCACAATACTTTCTCTTTCATAATATCTTTTCTCACATGATTACAGAAATTTGACAAAATGTAAATAAAGGACATAGAAGTTCATACTATGAAATTAAAAAGCAACACATTTAAAACAGATAAAGAGAAAATACTTTTTGATGAAACATAATTAATTTACAGAATTGTTTGAAGCAAATTATTTATTAATGATCATCATTTATAAGATAAATAGTTTAGTACAAT